AAATTTGAGTATTTTTCTATGTTATGTTCATGTTTATGTTCATAAACTTTTTATTTAATAAAATATGTTTTCATAGTTTGTGTTGTCCCTTATTATCAATGCAAAATGGTCACTAACTAAAGAGGACTTATGCTGATATTGCCCAAAAACCCTATTTTGTTCAGGCGTTTCCAAACTTTTGGAGGGCAGTGTATATATATATATATATAATGTATGTATGTATACTCATCATTGATGACATTGTTATAAGCCTCCTCTGCCTTGCATGGCCTTAGGCCTGTGCTTGGCAGATTAATGTGCAGTTGGTACACTGGGAATAGATCTCTGGGTGTTTTATGAGCCTGTGCGCTGAGTTTGCGCGTTAACCAAACTTGACTAGACCTGAATTCTCCCATTCTGGCAGTGAGTAGGGACTCAGTTCCAGTAACTGACTACAATTGCTGTTGCTCCGCCATTACTTTGCAATTTTGATGAAAGTGTGCCGTAGATTAGATCGGCTCCGAATTCTTTCACAAGCAGCAGAATTTGCCCATAAATGACCAAAGGAAAGAGAGGGGAAGTTTCCCTGATTATTCGATTGCAAGCAGTTTCTGTAAATTCTTGCCATGTGGGTGTTATTGATATCAGAATGCTGGGTTTTTTAAAAAATAATGCTTACAGGAAATGTAGTCTAAATGTCTCTCTCTCTCTCACAAACACACACACACACACACATGCAGAAACACATTTGCAAATATAGGTCTGCTTCTTGCAAACAGGAAGCTAAACAGAAATTCATGGGAGTTCGGGGTGATTCCCTTAAAGGTTTTTTTTATGCATTTATGTGAAATACAGAGGGCTTGTACTGCAAAGAGCCAAACAGCGTTCTACTATCACTGTTGCTGATGTTATTTTAAATGCCTCACTGTGCTGAAATACCCAAATTCACACAGGTCATTGATTTCAGTCAAATGTGTTTAGACTGTGCAACTGTGAGGAGACTTTGTGTGTGCACATTTCAATATCCACAAAAAAACATATGCACAAACACTTATAAACAAACTTCAAGTGTATCATTTCCAGCAGCTCCCTTCAGAACAAACAAATGCTTTGGTGATGAGAAAGCTAGATGTCATCGTCGCCATCATCATCATCATCATCATCATCACCATCACCATCATCATAATCACTCTGTGGGTAGTGCATATACGTGTGCACTACGAGGGGTGTGTGAAGGCTATGTTCCAGACGCAGTACGTGACAGGTCATAATCATATCAAGTGGGAGAAAGATTAATTTCTCACTCTTTCTTGTTGTGTCGTGCATATATACACCGACACACTCACTTACACTCACACACATACATTCTCTACATTCAGTTGTAATACAGTAATAACAGTAAGATTTATAGCAGCCGGGGAGCCAGTATCACTGGGGAAATCCCCTCAGCCCACACACACAGATAAGGCTTTGCTTTCAAACAAACTCAAACTATTTTA